TAATAGATGCTGTCGTGATAGAAAACAAAGCACTTCGGGCTTTTCACATAGAGATCATTCACCTTTGAGGGTCAGACCTTATCCTGAGGCTCATCGTTTGTAGGTGCCGACGGGCTCTCACCTTTACTGATAACAGCCAACAATGCGTGTTCTGAATGCATTGGAGGCTGTTCATGTCATCCCTTTTTATGCTTCCGAAGAGAAAATATACATGCATATCCTTTTGAATGTCTCCATTATGGGCGTATGGGAAATCAAACTCAAACATCAATCAAATGGCTTGTCTACTGACATGATACTGAATGATAAGCGTGACGGGCAGTTCATTTAGCTGTATAGTAGTGTGGGATTTCCTAAGGGGGGTGACAGTGACGGTACCTCTGCGTGTACACGAGGAACGAGAGGTCAGCATCCCTTTCTCTGCTGCAGTTATGGTGACAAGCTTGGCGCTTCCCACGAGGTCCTCAGTTTCACTCAGGCCTTCACAGAACAACAGCATTATTAGTATATTGAGAATTGCTTTAATTAACAAGGTGCTTTACTATCACCTTACGTTTCTATAGAATTTTTTTGCTTATAAAGCATTGTAACTCCATGAGAAAACCATTTCTCCTATTTACCAGGTGCCAGAAACTGGGTTAAATATTAATTATCTTGTTATTTCTTCTTTACAGATGCAGAAAACTAAAGCAAAGAGATGTTAGGGTCACACAGATAATAAATGGTAGAGAAGGGCCTCTGAGTCCAGGTGTCTCCGACTTCAAAGGCTTTACTTTTAAACACTAAATTGTATCTGAGTTTTTAAAATATAAATATCACGTATGATTTCGTGAATTACATTATGCTATTCTTTTATATGTTGTCCAAGTCCAAGATTTTATTCACCCAAAATAAATACTCAACACATATTAACCGCAAGGCAAAAATATGACTTGAATGGTAAGAACAGTTTGGCTATTACTTATTAGAAAAAAAAGTGTCTTGTTGAACTTATCCTTTATTGAATAGTTGTCTTAAAATTGTATACTTCATCTTAGGCATTTAGGATGAGCTAATTACTACAGTTAAGTGAGAAGTTTGGCACCAACCAGACAGGCAGCTGCTCCAAAGAGAAAAATGTATTGGATCTCCAGGTTCACTGTCAGATAAAGGGAAGCCATCACACTGTTGGGAGTGATTAACTTGTTCCTGGTGTTGACTTCTAAGACGCATTGTCCTGTGGGTACTCGGGATTAAAAACAAACAGGGGGAGAGAATTCCTTCTCGGTCCACTTGTTAGGATTCCGTGCTCTCATTGCCAGGGCCCCAGGTTCGATCCCTGGTTGGGGAAATAAGATCCCACAAGCCACGCAGCACAGCCAAAAAAAGGGGGGGGGGATTTAAATTACAATTTTTCAAATAACATAGACAATTCAAAAGTTGTCTTTGCAAAAGAATAACTGACCTAGTATAAATAAACTGACCTAGTAAAACTTCTGTAGGAGCTTAGCTGTGTCAACCAAGGTTTCACCAGAGAGACAGAACCAGTAGGAGATAAATGTAAATATAGATTATCTAGGCATGCTTAGCTGTCCCCATAGATCTATAGATATATAAAGAGATATCTACAGATATAGCTATAGTAGATATCTAGTATGTATTTATATATAAATACCTCTATGTCTAATATATCTGTATCTATAGAGAGAGATTGATTGCAAGGAATTGGCTTACGTGATTATGGGGATTATGGGGCTACCTAGGCAAGTCCCAGATCCACAGGGCAGGCTGCCAGGAAGGGCAGGCTGGAACTCTGTTGTCCACAGGTGAACTCCCTTCTTGAGGAAGCTTCAGGTCTGCTCTTAAAAACCTTTCAACTAATTGAATCAATCCCACCCAGATCATCTAGGACTGTCTCTCTTCACTGAGAAACCTAGATTAGTGTTTGGTTGAATAGACTATAGTCTAGCCAAGTTGGCACATAAAATTAACATCACAGGCACTAAGGTAATACAGTCCATAGATATTGCTTTTTAATCATATGTAATAAGGAGATAGAGTTTACAGAACCAATAGAATAAGTATGTATTACTGTTACGATTTTTAAAAGGCTTTAAAAATTCTTTTTTTAAAACATGCAAAAATTATTAGCACTTGTCAGATCTATCTCAAAAGAAAATAATCCAGGGGCTTCCCTGGTGGCGCAGTGGTTGGGAGTCCGCCTGCCGATGCAGGGGACACTGGTTCGTGCCCCGGTCCAGGAAGATCCCACATGCCGCGGAGCGGCTGGGCCCGTGAGCCATGGCCGCTGAGCCTGCGCGTCCGGAGCCTGTGCTCCGCAATGGGAGAGGCCACAGCGGTGAGAGGCCCACATACCGCAAAAAAAAAAAATTAAATAAGAAAAAAAATAAGAGAAGAATCCAGGAAAAGTATACAATATAACTGTGTGGTAGTCTCTTCCATTCAGTTAGTATTTACTCACAAGGCATCCTAAAAGAGCCTCCGCAAATATGAGCCCACAATTAATGACTAATAAACCCCTGGGGAGATTGCAGCCTTCTACATTATTGGTTAAAGCCAGACCCATGTGCCCCAGAAAGGAAACAGGCAGGTTGTCAGAGTGAATATGAAAATACTGGAGCCAGATGTTTTCTCCTCAAGCTCTTTGGAAATACCTGTGCCCCTAGGAGTTTTTGCAAACAGACCCAAAACATTATCTCATGGAGTTTTGTATCTGCCTAAGCCAGACTTCCCCACGCTCCCTCTGTTCACCATGCCCCTAGTGGCTTGGTAAATTTTTCCTGGTGCTTCTAGGCCAAAAGAAACGCATAACAGTTCTGTTTATTAAATAATTAGGTCCACATAACATAAGTAGGAATTAATGTCTTAACAACTTCATAGCCATTTGGAAAAATAGTTCACATCAATTGAAAGAAAAAAATATTTTTATTTCATTCTTAAATAACTACATCTCCTGGTCCAAAGAGATGCTTACCTGGCAGCTGTCTTTTTTATCACAGTAACCTCCAAAAATCCCGCTTTGCAAAAACATGATGTCAGCAAAAGGAGGGTAGCACAATCTACATTAGCACCATGAACAGCCTTGAGTTAGTAATTCACAGTGTCCAACAGATGCTGAGTATCACTGTGCTTTTCCTCGAAAATTTTAAAGATCCCACTCCACCCCTGTGAGTTTGTTGTGACACCCCAGGGCTCCTTGGTACACAGTTTGAGAACTGAAGTCCTAAACATTTGTACAAGCACCTGGTTGACAGTCTTGAGTTCTGGATAACTTAATTAAAAACCTGAACTTTCAGTAATGTATATATGTCGATGCTACTCTCACCTTGTCCCAGCTTCCCCCTCCCACCCCGCGTCCTCTGAATGTAAAATAGAGAGCTGGTGGGAAGCAGCTGCATAGCACAGGGAGATCAGCTCCGAGCTTTGCGGTGACCTAGAGGGGTGGGATGGGGAGGGTGGGAGGGAGGCTCAAGAGGGAGGGGATAAGGGGACATATATATGCACGTGGCTGATTCACTTTGGTGTACAACAAAAACTAACGTAGTATGGTGAAGCAATTATACTCCAATAAAGATATATTAAAAAAAAAAAAGCCAACACTGAACCCCCCCCAAAAAAACCCTGCACTTTTTTTAGATCAAATCAGACCTTCTAGATATTTCCTCATTTTGTACGAGACAGATTTATTTAACTAGGAAGCCCATGGCACAATGTATCTAAATTTAAGTTATACTGTCTGAATAGGAGCAAATTAGCAAGTGCATTAACGCTAACTTATCACCAACACATTTTTTCAGCTTTCTCTTGCCTTTTGCCATACTGAAGCGGTGAGGGTTTAATTTTTATAGGCTCTTTCTTTTCTGTTTTTTATTTTTTTATATATATATATATGGTCTATTCTTTGTAGTACTGGTATGAAAGGGAATTTAATGTCTTTGTGTCAGGAAAGTCCTATTTATTCTGACAAACTGATCAACCTCCAGAGTGTTTCTCTACCATGAAACTGATTTTATATCTCATCCCCGAGCTAATAAGATGTGAAACATTCTCCCTGTCACACCAAGAGATCAGACTTGCTTCCATGAAAAGGAGTGGGGTGAAATCACACAGTGAGCTCTTCTCAATGATTGAACCATTCAGTTCACAGTTTTTCAACATAAGAACAGAGTGATGGGTCTGAGACAAACCCAAAGATGAGCAGATACATTAAAAAAAAAAAAAAAAACGCCTTAAGAAAGGACTCTAGGATCCAATTCATTCACTGTTCACCGGATTAGCTGTCAGTTCAGGGAAAATTAAAATGTCAGAAATTAAAACCTGGTGGTCTTGGTGATTTGTGTAATGACATCCTGACACATACCCCCTCTCCCACCAACATGAACCTTTAAGGAAAGTTTATATCCCACAAAACGTGGGCTCATTCTCTTTGCTGTGAGAAGAAATAAGCTATAACACTCTGAAAGTGCTGGCGAGAAGAGAGGTGGTGACAGAGCTGTAGAAGAGGCCTTTTCCTTATAAAATACTGTCTTTCTTGCTTGTTATGTCCTGAGATTAAAATGATCTTCAGATGAGTTGTTAAAACAGGAAATTGACCATGGGGACAGAGGAGAAGTTGTTTCTGTGGTGGAGACAACGTGAAGGGAAAAAATGTCTTGGGGACTTCCCTGGTGGCGCAGTGGTTGAGAGTCCGCCTGCCGATGCAGGGGACGCGGGTTCGTGCCCCGGTCCGGGAGGATCCCACATGCCGCGGAGCGGCTGGGCCCGTGAGCCATGGCCGCTGAGCCTGCGCGTCCGGAGCCTGTGCTCCGCAGCGGGAGAGGCCACAACAGTGAGAGGCCCGCGTACCGCAAAAACAAACAAACAAACAAAAAAAAAACGTAATTTGGCACACAAACAATCACCCAAGTAAGAGGCAGGGATAGAATGAGCTTGGAAAAGAAAAACATGTGACCAAATGCAACCAGCAAGCCCCTCTCTAACCTGCATGTGTTCTCCTGCAGTTCGTCTTTTGCCGGGATTGTAAGGAACCGTACCATGAAGGTGAATGCAGTGCCCTGTTTGAAGCCTCAGGAACAGTTACTCAGGTAGAGTACCCTCTTCCTTCCTCAAAGCAGGGCTCAGGCTATGGGGATGAGAGCTGTTTCCTGGAGACCATCGAAGGTTCCAATCTGAAAACATCAGGGCCAGCTTAGTAGCCTCCAGCCATGGTGATGGGACTCTGGACTCCCCGCCATCAGTCCCTCCAGAACCACTTCCTTCCTCCGGGCGAGCTGTAGACTTCCCAGTGGCCATGTGTGGTGTGTTGGTACTTCCATGAGAGTTTTACCCCAGAGGTAAGTGGATTAGGGATAAGGTATCTTAGCATGATCAGAGGAGTCTTTAGAAAAGAGAGAAAACCATTCAACAACCTCTCCATCAGGGAAATCAGTACTAGCCTCACATTATTTTTTTTCAAAAGTGCCTTTGTTTAAACTCTTTGGTGAAAACTATCTCCATGAATGAAGTGGTAGAAGTATTGCAGTATTATACGATGCAAGGATATCATTGTTTTTTTAGCAATATCGTTACCGAACTCAGGTCCAGCTGCTCACCGCTGGAAAATCAATACCCAAGAGGCAGTTGTTGGTAGAAAGGAAAATTGCTTTTAATCGGAAAGCCGGCCGTCTGGGGAGATGGTAGACTCGGTGTCCCCAAAAAACCATCTCTGAAGAGTCTGCTTGGCCATGAAAGTTTTTAAAGGGAAGAAGGGAAGTAATCTCAGCTAATCATTGAGATGGGGGGTTAGAGTCGTCACCCCCCACACACCACCCACCCCACCCCGCTGCATGCAGGCTTGTTGACTTCTTGTGATCTTTCTTTGGATGCTATCTTGTTCACACTGTCTGTTCACAGAGTTTGTTCAAGAGATTACTGAAAGGGAAGCTAGGGAAGAGATTGGGTCATCAGTTACGTATTCTTCATTTCTGCTTCTTTGATCCATGGAAAGAACCAACAGGTTAGGCAAGGTATTGTGTGATCAAAAGATTTGATAGGTGTGCTAGGGCCAGAGATGAGCAGAGCTTGAGGGCGCCTGGTTTAAAAGTTAGTTACAATGTAGCTTTGCTAAATTGACGAGAAAAGGGGTTTCCTGCAAAGAGCTGCTTAAAATATCATGGACTGTGCTAAACTGTATTTCAGTCTTGATTGGGTAAAGAACATGTTTACTGAGCCTTACTCTCTGAAGTGCTGTATCAGGCTTAGGGAAATGCAAATATATTTTCTTTTATTTATTAATTATGATCAACCAAACCTTAGGGGAAAGGAGTAAAAACTTCAACACAGTTGATGAATTTGCTCATTATTTTTCTCCTGATAGAGATGTTAACAAGGCTATAAACACCAAATCTACCCAGATAAATCCTTTAGTCATTTTATTGACAGGAACCCCATAAATAGAGAAGTTCCAGAACATTTTAATTTCACAGTTGAGAATTTTAAGTATCACGGAATGCTCTAAAATGAGAGCATAAAGAAGTGAATCCCTGTAAGGTATAAGTGAATCCCTATAAGGTATTCTGCGGCTGTATTTACTCAGTATTAGCATAACTAAAGAAACATAATGAGTGAATTCAGGTCTTCTCAGCTGCTCCTAAAATACTGACCCTGAGCATTGAGAGATTTAGGGCAGAACTGCATTTCTATGGCACACGCTCTTCCTGTTGACTCATTGTAGCTCTGGGCACTCAAATGCAAGCTCACTGGGTCCTGATGTCAGGAATAATAATGACCCTGAGACCCGCCCCCTTGCCTCAGGGCCAGAAGGGTTAGACCAGAACAAAGGCTGTGATCCAGCAGTTTACACGCATATGTTCATATGACAATAGACCTGGACAAAGCCTTCCAAGAAGGGGTCCCCTAACATCTATTTACTTGAACACAGTAGCAGTAAGGTGAAGAAGAGTGTTGCTTAACCTAAAGCTGTCCAGCGCCTGACCCACTCAATAATCCCCTTCATTCTTCTTTCAGGAGGAACTAACCAACCTTGGTGTTAATGATTAAGGTAGCCCAAATTTAAAAAAAGAAAAGAAACTCAGAAATATGGGAGAAAGAGAGTTAGAGCTGGCCTTGAGTACAGATGACCAGTATCAAGGGGCCTGTGTCTGCACACACCATCAATCAGCAGGTGTTAAATCGAGCATTTCTACTGGCCAGACATCCTGCTAGACTCTCTGAAGAAATGTAGATAAGTACATTTATCTTCAGAGGGGAACCACAGGGGAGACTTACCGGAAAATAGATAATGATCGTAATGTGCTAAAACAAAGTTTAGTGAATATACCTTTGTACAGTGTTTCCCTAGGAAAGTCATGGAGGGTGGGTCAGAGTTTGTCAAGAGAACAGTGGGGTAGGGATGACAGGGAACATTCCAGCAGAGGGCACTGAATGGACAAAGGTACAGAGGCAAGATTCTCTCCAGCTACCCTGTGTTCTGTCCATCCCTACATCCCCAGGCTCAAGACAGTATCTGGTGCACAGACATTTAATGGATGTTTGTTAAGTGATGGTGATGTCGACTGAAGAAAAACACACAACCTAAAAGTTGTGAGTTACGTTTATTGGGGACCTTACTGAGGACTCTAGCCGGGAGACAGCCTCTCAGCTCTGAAGAGGTAATGGAGGAGCCAGGATTTATAGGAGTTTGTGCTGAAAAAAAAACAAACAACAACAACAAAAAAACATGTAGTCAAACATCAAAAGATTACTGCTAATCAAACAAAGCAGACCTCTCGAGTTAATGATTTTAGTGCTTTTCTATGTATGGGAAGCTACAAGAGTCCGGGCTGTGAAATTATTCCTTTGATGTGCATCTTAACCACCTAGGGCCAGTACCCAGAGCACAGAACGTTTCCTGATCTTCTGCGTCCTGAATTCCCCTCAAGGTCTACTGTGTGGGCAGCTGCAGTGGCCAGTGGCTTGATTTGGGGCAACATTTGCTCTTTGCTGGAATGGCAGGCAACACTCCCTTTCCACAGTGGCATCTATAAAGAAAAAGACATTATTTCATTCATTCAATAGTATTAAACACCTGTAGTGGGTTAGGCTTGTTTCTAGGCTCTGGGGATTAAGTTCCTGCTCTCATGGAGTTTATGTTACTTTATTAGATGCCACAAGGCTTGCACACACAATATGATAGGAATTCAGAGGAGGAATCTTTAATTCAAGACAGGGTTATCCAAGAGAGAATTCAGGAAGAGACGGCCCTGCAACAAGACCTCTGTGAAATGAGCCTCCTTCCGGCCTAGAGCTCAGATAACTGGACCAGCCTCACAGTTCTCTTATTTGAAAACAAAGCGAATGGACCCACCAAACTGGAAAAGTCTGCTGGTTCACTACTGCCTGAGAACAGAAGGCAACTAGTGTTTGGCGGTTTTGCTGCCATTTTTTCCTAAGTCTCTGATCCATTCAGTGTCCTCAGAAGAGACTGTAACTGAGGGGTCGTGGATGACCTACAGTGGTGGGGAAGGGTCGCAAGAACCAAAATCGATGTGGAGGGCCTAGGAGTCCAGCATGGGGGAACCATGACTGCACCAGGCCTGAAGGGACAAGAGGAGGAAATGGCGTAACACGGGGACCAACCTCAAGAGCTGGAACCATGGAGGAGCTCTGACAGGAGGTGTAATCGTGGAGAGTCCAGCGTTGCCAGAAGTAGACCCAAAGCCGGAGGGGAGTGAAGACCAACACCTTGACTTCTCCCGCTCACCCTCTGGTCTCTTGCAAACGTCTCCCATTGGCCACACCCAACTGAAAGCCAGCCATAAGGGACCCAAGGGACACAGCCCACCAGATTCAGCCTTCCACACACAGAGCAGAGGAGAGAAAAGAACACAGAATAACCAGTATATCCTCTATGGACTGGTTTACCACGTCTCCGGTTTCCTCACTTCAACAAGAGCTACTCTTGGACACGGAGAAGGATGAACCCAACAAGCTATTTCATCAGACTGAAAGAGCCAATTCCGTTTGGCAAGAGAATGAAGGGTTTTTATTTTCATAGAGCCAGTTTATTTTCTGTTCCCTACATTTCTCCCAAACAGCAGTGATCTCCAAATGGATGACCTCTGCAATCCCACTTAACTGAAGTCTTTGAAAGGGTGGCACTCCACACACCTAACAATAAAAATCTAATCGCAGCCTCCCTTCCTGGAACGGAAGGCTTCAGGTGCATTCTCGTGTCTGAATTTTGCTAAGACATCAAAATGCCCACATTAGCCTTCTTCAAATTTCCTTTCAATTCAATTCATTCGTAAGGTTTTTCCTTTCAGCCGTCTGTGGCTACTCTCCACCGTTCTCGCTCTAAAGCTGAGCGGTTTCTGACATTATCCAGCCAGACAAGCCCATGTCTCCCAGGGCCCAATCAGGATTTTCCCATGAGTTAAGCTGCTTGACCCTAATCTTAATGCATTTTTTGATTAATGCAACATTTTTTTTTAAAAGCAAACTCAAAAATTGGTTTAAAATTGGTTTTAAAATATTGAACAAGCTTGCAGCTGAAACTGCTGGGGGTTTGGGGAATCAGTGACAGAAGATCAATCCGTCACGGGCTAATGAGAGTCCAGCCCCATTTGCTTCTTCTTGCTGGAGCCGGGTTGTTCTCCTGCACATATTCCCCCTGGAGGCTTTCTAATAAGTAAACACTTGCTCTTGTAAACCACATAAATTGATTCATTCTCTCAGGGCTTCTAAGTAGTTGACATGACTCCTCCGATTCAACAAGAAGGCAACAGACACCTCCAGAGTTTTCATGGTGTTGTCCGGAACCACAAAGGAGATTATTCTCATTGGCAGCACCTGAAAAGAGTAGTTTGGGAACAGTGACTGCTCTCTCTGATGAATAGATCCGCAGTGTCTAACGGGAGTGTGCCACCCCTGCCTGCCTGGTGTCTGCTCGACCTCCAAGACCCAGATCGTAAGACAGGTCCTCCATGAGGCCGCCTGCCCACCCCACTACCTCCTCCAAGCTCTCAGACTACGCCACATACCTCTGCTGTACATTCTTCACATGGAAATGTTGTTTCCCTATATCTTCACTAAAATTCTGAACTTT